CTAAATCTCTGTAAATCATAAGCAATTACCATATTCTGGTGCCAACATGGCCCCGTCGTCTGTCAGAGTTTTAGTCCCAAACTACACAATACAAAACTCACAGTACTGATGTCCCCATACCTCTTACCTCATGTCTCCTGGTGTTTCCATTCAGGCTTAGCCTCTCCTAAATGCAGTCAGATGCCTTGGGCTGATAACTCTAGGAAGCCTTCTGTAGACCCTTCCAGGTAGAATATTCTGCTTGTAAGCAATGGTCATCTCAGTGTTTATGTCATCTGTCTTACTGCTTGGCCATTCTACCCACTAAAATGAATATAAGTCCCAGGGACTATTTACACCTATGCATTAGTGCGACGCATGGTAACACCATATATGCTTTAGTGCATTGCAGTACCATTCATTTTCAATGTCACCGCAATGCATGATAAGCACTACCGTGTGTTGTGTGCAGAGATTGCAAAAAATGGTGCTTGTCCGATTTTAGGTCTGCTTGCAGCCCATTCAAATGAATGGTGTGCGCTAATGCACCACAACAGAGTGACGTCACTGCTATGCCTGATGAAGGGATCCTGTGTGGTCCCGAAAGTACTTGTTTATTTGACATAAGTTTTGAATAAATTCACGATTGACTATCCTTGAAGGAGTCTGGTGTGCTGGTGACCATCTCTTTATTATCTGCAACTTGCAGCGCCATCCGCAGTCATTCCAAGCACCATTCCCCATATTTGGGATTATCCGATAAGGAGTGCAACAAACCTCTCTTCATATCCTAGGAGTAGGCTTTGGCCTCCTTGACCATCCTAATTATAGTGTCCTGTGCAGGGCTGAAGCAAATTCAGATGTTCCTTGGATATGGCATTAGCATCTCAGCAGCATAACCAGAGTGCTTTGAGCATCTGTATGGACATAAGAACCCATGCGGCACACAACCGGTGAAGTTCCTATTATGGTGGGTCACTGGTGGAACAGACCATTTAACAAATTCACTCTCAAAGGGGAACGGTGCTAGATTGCACATGTGGAGCCTGGGATAGTGTACAGTCGGCATAGAGGAATATTTTGAACAGCTATGTAAAGGGAAGTTCTTCACAGCTGTATGGACTCTAAAAACCGGGCTGGAGAGGGCAGGGACATCCTCCACATTCAGAGTAGTGCACACTGCATCAATAACATCCAAAAAGACTTGTAATATTTGGGTGACGCAAGGAGACTGTCAAGCCTGAAAAACAGTTTCTTCTTCAGAGAGAGACTGTGAGGAGTCAGAATCCAAGTCCAAAATGGTCACACATATTAGTGATTCGTCCTGATCTAAGGGCTCCGAGGGTCAGTGATCAACTCTGCAGGATATGGTGCTAAAGCACCTTTAGAGCCCGGTTAGTTGAGCACATTAAGCTGAGATGTCCTGAGTGGATGTGGAGGAGACCCAATGGAGCAGAGGAAGACAGGTGATGAACACCCTATAACTATAGAGGCACCAGTTCCCTCAGAGGATGCTGATAAGATGCCTCCAGAACCACTATGGACTGGGTTCCCCCATAGCATTGGGACTGCAATCTCTGTCTATGTGCAGACATGTTGCTTCAAATGTGTGGGGAAAGGCCCTCGGGTACTCAAATAGCCATACAGCTGGTGCTAAAGAGGGTCAGACGGCCAAAGGTGACCAAGTCACTGTAGGCAGGCAATGGAAACAGACAGGAGTTCCACATGGTGCATTGCAAAAAAGGAGTAGCAGCGGAATGGGGCTTTCTTTACACTGAACGGCAGACAAGAGAGAGCAATGCTTGTTTGTGTCATTCCACCCAAAAATAAAGCGACCAGTCCCTCTGTGTTAGCCCTTAACATGGTGAAACTGGTGGTGACTGGAAATTTGAAAGGAGCCCGGTGGTGCAATAGAAAGCTAACTTCCGATGCTTTAGCCCAAACACTTGTAGCACCTTGCTGAAAAAGGAGTGCTAGATCCTATATATTTATATAGTCTATGTTCAGTTCAACTGTGACAGAACAATCTGTGAAGCTGTGTCTGCCTCTGGGTGGGTGTGCTACCACACAGGGCAGAACAGCCAATGAGGATTGCTTTGGGCATTTATGTCTCCCAGCCAATCACTGCAGGACAGTAGCAGCGATGCATGCTGGGAGAGGATATAAATGCTGAGTGTGGCTGATGCAACAGTCTCTTCCCTTCCCTGGGGCCCTCCTGGCCTGGGGCAGGATGCTTGCTGTTGAAGAGAGAGAATGGACTAGGCCCAAGCCTGGGGCCTAGGCCTGGACACTGGGGCCTGAGCCTGGAGGCCCAGTGGTCAGCCACGCGTGTCTGAAGTTGAGCCTGAACAAGACCCTTGACAGTACTGCTTGCCAGAAGTTCTCCACACAGATTGCCTGTATGGCTTAAAGGTCCAAGTCTGTGGTGGCAGCAGTTACTTTGCTCTGATTCAAATACAAGGAGTCTACCTTCATGCTGGATGTGCCTGACCCTCTTCCCTCCCCCCCCATGAGTCACTGGAAGTGGTAAGTGCTATTGGGGCAGCCATGTGTTTTTTTTATAATCCCTAGACAGGCTATGGAAGACCCGATCATTTCAGCGGCTCCTTCGGGGTGAGCGCTACACACTCTTACTCACAGAATGGGTCTCCAGAGACAGTGTCAGGCTCTGGGACTATGTCACAGCTCTGGACCTGGAAAGCACTCGGTGGATGACTTTTACCAGTACACACAGGTCGGGAAATCACCAAAATGCAGAACCCAGTGCCCGAAGGTCACATTCCAGTCTGGCCCTGCACAGCCAGTACAGCACTCCCAAGTCAGGCTTAGGAAACAGTAATCCAGGTACCTGCTATGAAGAGACCAGCTCAAGCAGTGATGTGGCAAGGAATCTTGACTGAAGTCAATGAAAGAAAAACATCCATGAACCAAATTAAAAAAAGACATCTATCCTCCAATTGCAAAATACTGAGGCATGCTGGGTACAGGATGGGTTTTTACGAGGGCTGGCTTAAATTTTTTCTGTTTGCCAGTGTTGTCTTCCTGTAGACGGCAACATATCCAGACTGTATCTGAATTTCTGTGTCCCTCAATGGATGAGTTTTGGATAGAGTAGGGTCAAAATGAGGGATGCACAGATACCGATATTTTGCAATGGATACCAGCTTTGGATCAGTTGCTATGCGGTATCGGGTATTTGGGCGAGTACTCGTCCAAATGCTCCGATGCCTGGCCCGATACTTCTGGTATCAGGAAGCCGAGCAGCGCGTCATTACACGCTGCCCAGCTTCCTGATTGGCCGGGAAGCCGGCTTCATGCTCCCTCGTTACCTCATAACGAGGGCACATGGAGACGGCTTCCCGGCCAATCAGGAGGCCGGGTGCCTCGTCACTACACAGCGCCCGGCTTCCTGATTGGCCAGAAAGCAGGCTCCATGCTTTCTCGTCACCTAGTGACGAGAAGAATGGGGACGGCTTCTCTGCTAATCGGGAAGCCGGGTGGCGAGTCATTACACATCGCCTGGCTTCTGGAATGGGACTTCCGGTACTTGGTATTGTCGAGTACTGTAAAAAAAATACCGGTACTCGATACCGAAATACCTGTATCAGTGCATCCCTAGTCAAAACCCCTACCAGGTTATTGCTTGCCATCTATATAACAATGGGAAATATTTGTACACTCGGTCCCAATGATGCAACAGGAAGTTAAGATTAAATTTCCCCCCTTAGAAATTTGCCCCCATTGTAAAAAATTTCCCTTACCTTTTATTCTACTGAAAAAGGAGCAGTGGAGGGGAAGGTTGAATGACAGGACATGGTACATATCCCCTGGGTACTTCACTAAAGTGTTTTTGGGGGTAATAAGCAAACTAAAGTACACAACTACGCAACAACTGTAGCTTGACTTAATTGTACAAGCAGTACATACAAATCAACAAGAGGGTGACTAAACCACACCCAGGGCTTAGAAAAATCACACCGACACCAAGTGAGAATTAAACCTTTTATTAGTGTATTCACATATTCGGCAAATGCAACACGCACAAAGCTTATGTCAAGTTCACGAGTTCTACCAATACACCGAACTACTGGTAAAACTAGTTCACAAATGTTAAATGCTTTTGCCAATTACGCTGTTTTTTTACGGTTCGGCTTTCTGCTTACCACTGAAAAGTCTCGGGATTGCATCTATGTACTACAGCAAGCATCCTCAACTCCAGATCTTCAATGACCCACAGCAGGGCATGTTTTCAGGAAGCCTTCAATTTTTTTACGTGGTGGGCACAACCGGGGCGAGTGGAACATTCCACTTGTTCCCCCCAAAGAAGAAACTCCTCAAACATGGCCGGCGGCAGGATGGGGGTAACGATACGCTATACAGGCGCGTAATCACTTTCCGCAACTTAGCCTAGTGATTATTCAACCTAACACTGGCCACAAAGTTTGTTCTGAAAGCCAACAAAGGTCACTAGCTGTACTTACAAAGTACATTACTAATGTAGTCAATGCAGCCCAGGGAGAAGGGGGGAAAAGAGAGGGAGATAGGGAGAGAAAAGAGGGATGAAAGGAAATCCTGCCACTCTCACGTTTATAAAAAGAACAGACAGCTACAGAACAAGTTTGTTAGTAAGATGTACACTTTTTTAGGTCAGAGTACCCTTGTCTACACAACCTTTGACCCCACCTGTCCCTAAATGCAGACAGCCGGAAAGATACTTTTATAGGGTGCAAAATGTAGTGTCACAGGGACTAAAATAAAAGAAGCAGACACACCCTAATCGGTATCTAAAAATGTAGAACAGCAAAAAAAAATAAAAATGTAGTAACTATACATGGCACATAAGAGGACTGCTCATACACTCCAATATATGCCCAATAATACATTAAAGGTCCTTTAAAACATCCCTTCCCAAAGTAAGGAGTGACTTCACACTGCACTTTCCTCTACGGTATCAGAAAACGTTATCCAACAAGGTGCTTTAAGCTGATGGGACCTCAAGTGCTGTTTCTCAGTATTTTTTATTTTGGATTTGTAAACAGTTCCTGGGGACCACACACAAATACTAATGGACAGACGAGCTGAATTAAGTCTGTTGCCAAGACTTCGTATTGAACCCACAGGTCGTACAAGGGGGTTAAAAAATAAAGATAGAAGCCCCATTAGGACATGCTGGAGCAGCGGACTGAAGGAGAGCCCATTTGAGTCAACACTTTGTCCAGCCATTGTAAAGGTCTGTTTAGATGAAGCTCAATCCAACATGGAGTGCTTGTGACTGTCTGCCGCCTGAAAAGACAGGAGAGAAATGCTCAGACAGGGGAACACAAAAACAGCAGAAATGTCAATGCTGCAGGAGAAGTGAAAAAAACATACACAGCTATTCACAGAAGGGTGAAGGGTTTGGAGAAGGCAGGAGAAGGGAACAATCTCGGCCAAAATTGTTGATTTGGAAAAATTCTCCAATTCAGCTCACTTTCCAGTTCAGCTATGTTGTCCTAGATCAGCGGTTCTCAACCTGTGGGTCGCAGCATCCACTTCTGCTGCGCTAGGTGGGAGGCTCCTCTGCCTCCTCCTAGCGCAGCAGTGTCAGTCAGCGGGAGGACAGCAACGGCTTTGAATATAAAAGTGCCGCTATACACACTCCCTGGCCGCTGCAGCGACATCTAGTGGCCGGGGAGTGTGTACAGCAGGACTTTTCTATTCACAGCCGCTGCTGTCCTCCTGCCTCCCATACAATGTGAGCTCTGCAGGAGGCGGGTGTCAAAGCAGTGCGGGGGCTGAGAAGGCTGCATGGAGACAAAGCAGGCAAGCAGGGGCTGGGGAGGGCTTATATTCTTGGGAGTGTGCTTCTATTTTTAGTCCCAAGTCCAGCGCCTTACTAATTCTGGAGTCCAGCGCTCCGTTGGGGGTCACCACAACTTGGCAAATGTTACCAAGGGGTCCCAGCCCTAGAAGGGTTGAGAACCACTGTCCTAGATTGTTCACTTCTCCTGCCTTCTCCAAACTCTTCACCCTTTTGTGAATAACCCTGATAATATTCTTAAAGCGTTAAGCCCAATAGCAAACAGTAGGTGTTACTAACCTCCCCTGATAAAGACATCCTTGTCAGTTTGCCCACTCTGAGCAGAGTGACTGTGCCTTCTGAAAGCCCCTTCCCTGCCAGAGCTGCAAGTTAGTGCGTCTATAAGTATGGGGGGGCGGCACGTGGCATGGATTTTAAGGAGAATTATGAGGCGAGTGCTTTTCACTCAGCCTCATAATCTGAGCCGACCTGTGACAATGAAAGTGTCACAGGTCGGCTCAGTAGATCGGGAAGTGAGCGAACACATACCGCTGCTCGCTCACTTCTCGATCTATCCCCGCAGGTGAGCTGTGACGGGGAGTGACTGGATTCCCCCCTCCCCTGTCCGATCCTCCAGCGCTGACTGGTGGAACGGAGGGGGCGGGTACAGCTGGCTCTGCCTCTAGATAGGCAGAGGCAGCTGTCACTCACACAGCTCGGCGAATCCAGACAGAATTGTTGCGATCTGTGTCAGCTGCGGCGTCTTGGTATACCGCGAGCTGCACCTCGCGGTATACTGAGATTAGGGTGACGGGAGGACGCTAGTTTGTGTCCTCCCGTAACCCTTTGGAGAACTATGGGGAAAAGCCCTAACCCCATAGTTCTCCTTTAACCAATTTGCCAGGCCTGAACACAGTCAGTCACATTAAGTATTGGTGGCGAGGAGGGTGGCGTTCATTCACAGGGGTAAGCTCATACACAAAAGTGGAGTGATAACTCCTGCCCTCCAGCAGCAGACGCTACCACTTTGCCATGAATGAGACAGTGCCTCTTTAAAAGGAGAATTATGGGGTGAGTGAAAAACACTCATCCCCATAATTCAAGCCAACCTGTGACAAAGAAGCTGTCACAGGTCGGCTCCATTGTTTGGGAAATCAGCAAACAGACACCGCCGATTGCTGACTTCCCGATCATCTCCCTGCAGAAAGCGGTGACCGTCAGTCATTGCCCCCCATAGGGATTCCCCCCCTCCCCTCTCTGATCCTCCAGCGCTGACTGGAGGAAAGAACAGGGAGGGGGCGAGCACAGCTGCCTCTAGATAGGCAAAGCGCACTGTCAATCATCTAACAGGGTGGATCTTGACAGTATTGTTGAGATCCGTCCGAGCTGCAGCGTATATAGCGGGCTACTGAGTTTTGGGTCACGGGAAGAGGTTAGTATATGTCCTCCCGTGACCCTGAAGAGAACTATGGGGGAAAAAGGTTACCCCATAGTTCTCTTAAGAACATACAAGCAACTATCCAACAGCAAATCTTCTGCATTTCTCTGCAGTAATCGGACATTGTTCTCATAGTTATTGTAGGGGTGGGTAAAACTGGCAGCTAGGATTTTTGGTTTTGCCTCCATCAGGGTCAACGGTATTAAAAAAAAAAGAAAGTAATGTTTCACCTGAAGCCTTTTAACCTTAATATGCAGCAAAATTGCATGGGTCTTACCAAGGTGGAGGAAGAAAGAGGGCATGAGAGAGAGAGAGAGAGAGAGAAGCAAGGTAGAGAGCTGCACAAGTAAAGAGTACCTGTATTCGGCACCCCAGCCTTTCACAAAGCTCATTCTGATGGTGCACATTCTGGTTAATTGGTAAACTGCTTCAAATCCCTGGTTTACTGACTGAGCAAGGAGGGCAGCAAACTCTTGATTATTGAAGATCGTCAGGTTACAGCCTGTCATTAAGAGCCGACATACAGAAACTTTCAGAGTAAGACAAAATTTTACATAATTAAAACAGGACTAAAATTACATAGCAAAAACAGTTAGCAGGTAGGCGGTTATGGCAGGAGACAATGCATGCCTCTTCTGCTATAAAACATTGTTCTATCTTCCATCAATGTTTCTCTGTATTATACAAGGACTAACATATGTGCAGCCCAGTGACCAAACCTGGCAGTAAGAGCACGGTGCCAGGACAAAGTAACTACTGTGCTTAGAAACTGAACATCCAATCACCAGGCCCGAACACGGTCACATTGGTAAGCTTTAACACCATCAGACACCAGAGCCTAACTGGTGTGGATTTCTGCAGAAGGGAGATGGCAAGTAACCTTGTCTCATAGCTTTGGTCCTCCATCCCCTTAATGAGTTTAGTTGCCCTTCTCTGGACTCTTCCCAGCTCAAGGACATCCTTTCTGTGGATTGGTGACCAAGACTGAACCGCATACTCTAGATGAGGCCGAACCAGCGATCTATAAAGTGCCAAAATGATCACTTTGTCTCTACAGGACATTCCTTTTTAATACAAGACGTTACTTTGCTCGCTTTGTTTGCTGCAGCCCGGCATTGCAAGCTATTGTTCAATCTGTGGTCTTCTATGACCCCCAAATCTTTTTCCATTTCTGACCTCCCTAGTGGAGTTCCCATTAATGTGTATTCCTCTTGCCTGTTTTTAACCCGAAATTGCATTACTTTACATTTATCAACATTAAACCTCATCTGCCATATAGTTGCCCATTCCCCTATTTTATCCAGGTCCTCCTGTAGTGTTATAATGTCTAATTCCACGTCTATGACCCTCCAGATTTTAGCATCATCAGCAAACACAGAAACCTGGCTATTCACGCCCTTCCCGATATCGTTAATAAACAGGTTGAATAGCATGGGGCCTAGCACAGAACCCTGGGGCACGCCACTCATGACCTTAGACCACATGTGACAAACTCAAGGCCCAGGAGCCGAATCTGGCCCACCAGGCCATTTCCTAGACATAACATTTCATCTATGCCCATAGACCTCAGCTTGTGTACTAAGCATTTATGTGGTACTGTGTCTGTGTACTGTGTTTGAAGTTGAATTTTAAATATTAGCCCACATCATTGTCTACAGCTGAATATCTAAAAAAAAAAAAAAATCATTGGAAAGACTATACAGTCATGTAAAGATGAAGGATTAATTGAAAGGACTATAAAGGAAGGTTAGGTTAAGGACAAGGTTAAGTATCAATGTTTGCAGTTATGTTTGAGGAACAGTTGGGATCCAAGTGTGATGAACAAAAAAAACAATACTGCCCGCTGCCTTTTTGGTGTAGTTTTCAACAAATTGATCTCCCATGGAATAAAATGCATCAAAAACTCACGGCAACAAATGAAAATGCAGCAACAAAACGATTCCTCGGGGTTCAGAACGGGGAGAGCCGAGTGTTACACTCAGGTTATAGTACAAGTAAAATGAAAGAAAAAAAAAAAGGGTGCAACTGGGGTACCCGGAGGATAAGTACACTTACAAAAAAAATCCTGTTCTGCCTATTTAATACTGTACTTGTATCTAACAAGCACAGTAACATATTAAAATTACACCTCTTGGCTTCAATGGCATCTGTGTCCTCTGCAGGCAGAAAGCTTATTCTGTAAATAACTGACAGCAATCACAAGTTCAAGAACCACTGACTGGTTCCCAATCATTAGTGAGGACCTCCAATGTCAGTGACGGCCAGGATTGAGAGCCCGCAAACATGGAAACACTCAGCTATTTCTTAAATGGGAGATGTTTATTAAATGTATCCTCAGGGAGGGGAATCATGCTGAGGAAGGCTAAATATCCAGAATGTGGATGGGAAAGGGTTAAAGTCATACAGCAGAATTCTCATATGACCGAGTAATGCCAAGGGGATGTCCTAGGGCAGAAAAAGAAGCAGCAGAATAAAAGCTCACCTGGAGGAATCTTACACACAGTCGCTGGATGCCATCCATACCGCTGATTACAGTTTGGACTCTGGACAAAAATCGCACTATCGCTGAGGCACTCTGCAAATACTTCTCCACCAATGTAATACAACCGAACTCCTCTTCCTGCGTGAACACAACACAATTTTTGCACCTGAGATTTCGGTTAAAGAAGAAAGGAAAAAGCTGCTGCTGTGCTACCTCTAGAAAACTGTTAATGCTCTACAAAACATGAGACATGAGTGCCCCTTAAATTAAATGTTTACTTTTGTTTTCTTAAAATTTGTTGTTTTTTTTAAAAGAGACCCTGTCCCCAGATATAAAATTTTCTTTAAAACGCTCAGTAGTGGTGAATGATCTGTACTCACATTTTTGCCAACTTGCGCTTCACAAATGACAAGTTCCAGGAGTGTCAGATCCCTGTGTGCTGGCCTTAGCTGCTGCTGCTCTCCCCACCCTTGTCACTGCGGTGTTTGCATGCTCCCTGCTCAGTCTTCTGTCTCCTGTGACAGCATAGGAGACTGAGCAGGAAGAGTGTACACACTGCAGTGGCATGGGAGGGGTGCAGCAGCAGCATATGGTGCCAGCACAATGACGGATCCCTAAAAAGCTGAAGATATGGCTTGGGTAAGCTACAAAACATCAACATTACAGAACGCGGTCCAGTTGAATGTGACTATAGCTATACCACGACCTGGATTAAGGAGAACCTTTGCAAACATTTTAAAAGAACAGAATGACAAATACGCATGCACATCATATACTACTATTGCAACTGTTTCAAATATAAAAGTAATGTCTTGTGACAGGGTCTCTTTAACCATGGAGGAGAAGGAAGCCAACATAAAGGCATTCAGCAGTGACCAAGCAGATCCCTTTTCCTAAATACCTCGGAGCCAACTCATCACGTGGACTTAAAGTGGTCAAAAGCCAAATCTATACATAAAACAGTTACTGTTGAGCTAGTAAATAGCAATAGTAAATGTTGCCTAGACGATGCTACCACCATGCACAAGTAAAATGCAATGGTCTACATAACACAGCTAGTCAGACACACAGGTGAAACTCGAATAATTAGAAGATCGTGCAAAAGTTCATTTATTTTTTTAAAAGGTGAAACTAATATATGAGATAGACTCATTACATGCAAAGCAAGATAGTTCAAGCCATGATTTGTCATAATTGTGATGATTATGGCTTACATCTCATGAAAACCCCAAATCCACAATCTCAGAAAATTAGAATATTACATGCAATCAATAAAACAAGGATTGTACATAGAACAATATCGGACCTCTGAAAAGTATGTAGGTAGGTAGGTGCAGTATGGCCAACGGCCACTAGATGCCCCCATGGGGCCCTGGAGATAGATGCAGCTCTGGCCTGGGAAGACTCTGTGTCCCAGGAGAGTTGATTTATAGGGGGCGCCCGAGAGGGGAGACAGGCAGAGAGTACAGGAGAGCAGGAGTCTAGGACTGTTTGCAGAGTCTCCGGAGGGGGACTGTTTTCTTGAATATAGGCTGGTCCATGGGAAGGACAGGACCAGGCCTAGGACTATGTAGAGCTACAAAGATTTCCTAGTTTCCCCACAGGGGGAAACCCACCGTGCTAGGACTGACAAGGAGGGGATTCCGGAGAATAGTGAAGTGTTAGAAGACTGACGATATTTGCCAGTGGGCCTATGGCAGAAGTAAGTCATGACTCTGGGCTGATGTACCTCTTTCTCTCTAAATTGTATCACCATGCAAGTAACAAGAATTGTGCCGTCATCCCACCCGGGGGTGGCTGAAACGTATACTTTGTTCTGTTTCTACCTTCAAGTAAAATCAACAAAAAGACTCTGTGTGGACTGGTTCTTCTCCCTCCAACCTCTGAGAAGGTGGGGTTCTACCGGAGGGTAGAAGAATAACTTACAAAGACCCCACACTTAAATTTAGCCGAACGTGTATAAGGCACGGCATTATTAAAAGAACCTCCTCAGGAACATATATGGTTCTTATACCAGACAAAGGCAGGAGCTTAATAAATGAATGATGTATTATGAAGGAAAAGTAATCACAGTGCATATATTTACAATTAGATGTTATACAAGACAGTTACACAAAACAAACAGATCCAAAATAAAAAAAATAAAAAAAAAGGAGAAAATTGATAGAAATCCTACTTACAGAAGCACTTGATTCTATCCCGGGGGGGCTGGTGGCAAGGATCCATGGGTCCATATTTAATCTTTTATATCTGAGCTTTTAATAAAAGGAGGCTGGGTTTGTGCTTCTTTTGTTTGTGAGAGGGTGCCTCCATGGCTAGGAGAGGTGTGAAAGAATGGTCCATGCCAAAAGGAATCCCCACACAACATTAAGATGCTACTTGTGTTATATAAATCTAATTTACACTTTACAGCATTTGAGTCATCCCTCACTGAATGAATTAGGGATGCACCGATACTACTTTCCACGTACTCGCCGATACCAATTAACGATACTTTTTCTTAAAGGGACAGGTCACATTTTTTCTAAAGCAATACAAAATAATGATTTTAGGTCAGTTTCTTAATATTATGAAGAACTGTAACTCAAAAGACATGACTGTCAAAAGATAAAAGTTTACTTTGCTTAAATTGTCACAAGGTTATATTAACTCAATTAAATTTCTTATAACATGTTTGTTAATTAAATATTACACAAACAATAACAAAAAGGTGCAATACAGCAATATATAACAGTATAGCAGTGCACTCACTGTGTACTCATAGGGAGCAACAGTATGGGCTAGATTACACTCATTACATTTCCAACCCCATTAAAATCTATGGAGTGAGAAATGTGAAGAGAGCATTGGTAAAGCTCATCAATCAAGTGTAATCTAGTCCTATAATTAATGAGTGAATTAACGTCTGTAATTTTTCTAAAGCCAGTGGCAAGTTTTTTTTAAGGAACAGAAGCATCTCTGCATGGTCAGCTAGAAGTCTGTTCCTGCTATCAGTAAGGACATGTGATGCAGAGCTGAAAATCTCACTTTATTAACTGCCCAGTACTGGAGGGGTTTCTCTGAACGAGGAACACTGATCTCTCCCAGGTATGTGTCCAGCTGTATGTTGGCAGCTGTTGGGAGGACTGGTTCCAGAAGTTGATGGAAATTCACCAGCAATTTGTGCAAAGACACTGTCCAGACTTGTACTTGGCTGGTCACTACGAGGTCTTTTGGCAGATGGTTCCCTGTGCATCTTAGAGGTCGGGGTTTCCTCAGAGTTTTTCTGCAGTTTGAGCATTAACATTTCTTTCATATGCCTGACATTCTCTGTATTAGAAAATAATTGCTCCTTATACCTAGAAAGAACAAAGCAAAACATCATTGATGAATGATATAAAATTAAAAAAGGAGAACAATGAGGTTAAGGTTTTTCCCCATAGTTCTCCTAAGGGTAACAGGAGGACGCAAACTAGCGTCCTCCCGTCACCCTAGGCTCAGTATACCGCGAGCTGTAGCTCGCGGTATATTGAGACGCCGCAGCTGAAGCGGATCCCGACAATTGTGCCGGGATCCGTCCAGCTGCGTAACTGACAGCTGGCTCTGCTTATCTATAGGCAGAGCCAGCTGTACCCGCCCCCCTCCCCCGTCCGTTCCGCCAGTCATCACTGGTGGAGCGGAACGGGGAGGGTGGAATCCAGCCCCTCCCCTGTCACGGCAGAGAGCCGTGACAGGATCGAGAGGTGAGCGAACGCCGCTATGTGTTCGCTCACCTCCCGATCTACTGAGCCGACCTGTGACAGTCTCATTGTCACAGGTCGGCTAGAACTATGAGGTGAGTGAAAAGCACTCACCTCATAGTTCTCCTTTAAGCATACAGTTCTTCCTGTGCATTAAGAAAAATAGACAAATCAGAGCACTTTTAAATAAAAACAATTAAAGTTAAAAATGATAACCACTCCCTAACATTTTAGCTTTTCTATTTCATTATGGGAAAATGAAAGATTATGTTATTAAATTATAATGAATTTAATAGCTAAAAATTAAACATCATTACCTTGAATCAAGTAAAGTTGCCATGCCAGGGTTTTGCTCTGAGTCAGTGAAGCGCCTCTGCAAAGCGGCAAGTAAAGTGCTCCTCATCGTTTTGACACCTTGGTCCTCCTCAGCCATGTTCGATAGAACTTTGTGTACCTCAGTGACAGATGGAATAACATCCAAGGCAAAAGCGTTAGACAAACTCATTTGATAAGAGTCAGCTCTTCAAAAAGGGAGCCACAATGTTCAGCACCTTCTCCATTAGATTCCACTGGTTTGCGGTAATAGTAACAGGGAGCTCATATTCTGATGCATAGACTCCAAAGGCCCGTTTCTGCTCAGAGACTGCAACATGTAGAATGTGCTGTTCCAACAAGTCGGCACGTCTTGTTGGAGCCTTTTAACTGGCTGACCGAGCTGGATCTGGATGTCCTGTAGCCGAGAATATGCCGAGTTGGAATGTTTGAAGTGGCCGATTATTCTGCGTCCGACTCCAACAGCTCCTGCAATGCTGCGCTGTGATAGCAGGCCCTCAGAGACAGCCAGCTGCTAGTGTATTGCCACACATGGAATACTGGGAAGTCCAGCATCTTCCATGCCTTTGATCATGTTTTTGGCACTGTCGCGGACCACAACGTGAACAGACTTTTTGGGAATCGCCCAAGTCTCAAGCATTTCTTCTATCATTATTGCTATTGCTTGACCGGTGTGAGAGCCCTGACATTTTTTTGCGTGGAGCATCACTTGCTGCAGAGTGAAATCACCATCTATCCTCTGTGCTGTTAGGCTGATGAGACAGTGGACTCACACTACTGCTCCAAATGTCAGTGGTGAAGCTAATTGCCTTCATCTCCTCCTGCAACATGCTGGAAATGTGCTTCTTAACTGCATTGTGTATCTGCGGCAAGATAACATCTGTAATGTACCGGCGACTGGGAATCTCATACCTTGGCTCCAAAACATTGAGAAAAGCGACAAAAACCCATATTGTCGACTAATGAAAGTGGTTGATCATCCAGAACAATAAATTGTCTAAGCGCCTTGGTTATTTTCACAGCTCTCGGGTTTTCTCTTGCCATTTTATCTCTTCTGGAAAAGGTTTCATGCAGTGTTAGCTGCTGAGTGCTATTGCTAGCAGCAAATTTGCCATATTCAGCTTTGTGCTTAATTATCAGATTACTGGTATTGAAAGAACTTAGCTTTGTTCCGCCTCTGGATATTTTTGCAGGGCAAAGTTTGCATTCTGCCATGCGTACATTGTTCTCGTTAACTTTAAAATAGTTCCACACCACTGACATTCTGCTGAGGTCTCTGAAAGGCTACAATATATAATGCACTCCACCTTGGTTAAATAAAAACAAAAAACATAAAATAGAAAATTATGATTATTAGAACAAGCGGAAAGTACTATCCACTTTTTATTTAAGCGCTTGGCTGGGGTGTAAAACCCCCTTCCTGTGCCGCCCATTTTTCAGTATTTAGCGTTGCGGTACTTTGGCTGACATTTATTCCGTCATACAACGCTGTACTGAAATGATTTTATACAATTTCTTGGGGACAGATAGAGCTTTCTTTTGGTGGTATCTCATCAGCACTATGGGTTTTATTTTTTTACTGTATAACGAAAAAATGCGGAAAAATTTGAAAGAAAAACCTGTTTCCCATATGAAATGTTCTGAAACATTTATCGCCCCAATTTTTTGGTAAAATATAAAAGATGGGGTCACATCAGGTAAACAGACCCCAAACATGTGCGTGCCTGCAAAATTGCAAAAAACAACCATTGCCAAAATTGGCCATAGGCGACGCTTTAAAAGCTTTTATTGCTCATCAGTTTAGTGTTAACAGTGATTGATGGCCCTTAAATTATTGCTCATGGCGATATGTAACATGTCTGGCGCAATGGCACAATACACCACAAGATGCTGATGCCATGAAGTGACATTTTTAGTAAAATCTCAACGTGCCATTTGAAAAAAGGCCACAAGATGGCGTATGGATAGGATGGAAGCAGATGGAATTGTGTAGAAAACCATAATTTAGCTTAAAGTGACATTAAACCCTCAGATTTTTTAACATAGAACAATACTGTAATGTGCGCCCTACTGTAATCCATGGTTGTTTCCCTTCTCTTTGCTGCTCTTCCTTTTAAATCTTTCTCGTCTCATGCTTGGGGAGAACTTCTATTTTGCAGCAGACTGCCTTGTCTCTGGAATGGATACATGGTGTCTTTGTGAAGGTTCACAACCTGAGCCAGCACTACAGGAAGAGGCACTCAGCTGCAAAGGGAAGTTCTCCCCCAGCAAGAGAAAAGATAAGGATTTAAAAAAGGAAGATCAGCAAAGAGAAGGGAAACTACCATGGATTACAGTAAAGCACACATTACAGTATTGGTTTATGTTAAAAAATCTGGAGGGTTTAATGTCACTTTAAGGCCTCATTCACACGACTAACAGCCGACACATGTTATATTAATACAGCATGGTCAAAGATAAATTAATCTTTATTTGATATAATCACTATTCAGCAATGGAAAAAAATGTTATTTTATTTATGCATGATGTATTCACTCAGCTATGAATCCCTGGCTGGAATCCATATTTTTGCATCTGCAAGTTGCAATATCACAGGCAAAACCTCTGCTTGGAGGTTAGACGCTATGAAGGTCCTGTGTGCGGTGGTTTTCGTGTCCTTCGAGATGGCGGGTGCTCTACAGGTACTCGTTTTAGGTATCGGAGTATTTGCATGAGTACGAGTACTCATGCAAATACTCGGTATCGCCGCCGATACCGATGCTTGCATCGGTGCATCCCTAGAATTAATTACCCTTGTGATTACCTCATCTTGCCACCTCTGATGGAAGGTTAAGTCACGTGCCTACTACCCCCAATAACACTGATTAACAACATATTTACAATAACTCATAGCATCATGTCCACTGGACTTGACAGTAGTGAGCGGTCTTTATTACACGAGGGGGCGGAGACATGACCAGTCACCCTGCACAAGGAGAGAGAGCAGCAGTGAGCAGTCTTTATTGCAGGAGGGGGCGGAGACAAAGAAGTGTCAATACGACCGGCATGCCTCCTTGGTTCTGGAGAAGGATTATGGGAAGTACCACTCTCCTGACCCTTATCAGAACTGCAAACGGGGTATAGCTGTTAAGACGGGCATTGGCCTTAAGGATAGTACAGGCTCCTTGACAAAGTCCAGGTCAGGGATCCTGGAGGTCGTAAGGTCCTATTATGCTGACCTTCTTGGGAGGAAAGAGCTTGACCGGGACAAGATGGAAAGCTTTTTGGACTCTACACCAGGTCTAACGGATGAGGATGCTCTCTTGATGAATTTGACAGAGGAGATCACAGTTGTCAAGGTGACAAGAGCAATTGAACAGCTAGCTGTCAAAAAGTCACCCGGCCCGGATGGCTTGACGGCTGAGTTTTACAAGGCCTTCAGGTCTATCTTGGCCCCACATTTGGTGGAGGTTTTTAATAGTTGCCTTGCTGAGGGGGTGCTTCCCCCCCTCCATGAGGAGCTCGGCTGTGATTCTTCTGTCAAAGGGTAAAGATCCTTTGATGATTGAGAACTGGCGCCCCATCAGCCTTCTAAATGTCAATAGAAAGAAACTTGCAAAGATTTTTTTTTGGCGCTTATCATCAGTAGCAGAGTCTTTGCTTTCTCGCCAGCAGCACTGTTCAATCCGGGGTAGGAGCACCTTCACAGCGGTTTTAGCTGTCCAGGAGGCCCTGGAGCGGTGCAGGGCTGCAGGCTGGGGAAAGTATTTGCTGGCGTTGGATCAGGCAAAGGCCTTTGATCGTGTCAACCATGAGTACCTGTGGTCGCTCCTTAGTAAGTACGGTCTGCCGGGTGGTTTTGTTGATTGGTTAAAAGTCTTGTACAAGGGGGCTGAAAGCTTCCCTCTTGTAAATGGTTGGGTTGGACAGCCCTTTGAGAAGTCCCCTGCTGTATGTGTTTGCGATCGACCCCTTCATAAGAAGGCTGGAGAGCGGCACGTTTTGTGGGGTACCAGTGGGGCTTCCACGTGAGCCGCCTTTGAGGGTTGTGGCCTATGCGGATGATGTATCTGTGATTATCACCGGGACGGATGAAGCGGAGGAGGTGGTCTCTCTGGTGTCACGGTACTCCGAAGCATCAGGCTCCAAAATCAACCAGGAAAAGAGTGAGGTTTTCTGGATGGGAAAGGAAGGTGAAGAGTTTGATCTCCCGGACGCCTTTCCAGTGCCCCAGGACAAAATTAAGATAAAAAATTAAGATACGTGGCATTGAATTTGGACCTGGCGATTATGGCCTCAAAAACTGGGAAGGCAGGCTGGCAATTGCCAATGCTAGGGTGGCTAATTGGAAGAGATGGAAGTTATCTCTGAGGGAACGGGTTGACCTGATAAA